GCTCTAACATTGATGTGATGGTCACACACATCTTTGACAATACTAAAAACAAATTGCATGATATTTTAAGTACGTCTCAATAAAACTTAAAAATAAGTTTCAAAAATAATCAAGGTTGAATGCTTTTTCATTCACTTACTTAAGAAAGAATTAAAAATTAGTATACCTAGTGCTACGGCAGTGTGTGTAAACTGGTAAAACAAACTTTTCAAAAAACAATGTGGTTATACTCCAACAACTTAAAAAATGCTCATCCTTACAAATTCCACGTTTGGGAGTCTATTCTAAAGAAATACTCCTCAACAAAAGCATGTAACCATGCTGCCCATCACAAGTGGACTGGATTAAAAAAAAAGTGTGGTATATACACATGATGGAATATTATGCAGCCATAAAGAAGAACAAAATTATGGACTTTGCAGCAACTTGGATGGATTTAGAGTCTATCACTCAGTAATCTATCTCAATGATCTCTCACAGAAACAAAGAACTGAGTACCACATGTTCTTTCTCATAAGTGGACTCCAAACATTTATCATAATACTATAAGAAAGGAATTGGCCGGGCTCGGTGGCTCAGCCTGTAATCCCACGCATTTGGGAGGCTGAGGTGAGTGAATTGCCTGAGCCTGCAGGTTCGAGACCCGCCTGGGCAACTTGGCGAGATCTCATCTCTACAATAAATCAAAAAAATTAGCCGGGCGTGGTAGTGCGCACCTGTAGTTCCAGCTACTTGGAAGGCTGAGGCGGAAGGATCGCCGGAGCCCAGCTGGTCGAGGTTGCGGTGTCCGGGAGCGGCCACTGCACTCCAGTCTGGGTGACAGAGTGAGACTCCAACTCAAAAAAAAAAAAAAAAAAAGGGAAAAAGAAGAAAGGAATTGGCAGTAGCAAGAAACTACCAGGGGGGAGGTGCACATATAACATCAATATGGGTACCTGATCTCAAACCAGGTGAAGTGGAAACCAAAGGGAGTTCCAAACCTTACCCATATGATGACCACTTGTATACCTAATCTTGAATTGTACCCCACATCTTTAAAATAAAAATAAAATTAAAAAAATACTTTGTAGAGAGATAATAGTCTAATTCACAAAGGGTTGTTTTTTTAATAATAAAAATTAATAAAAATAAGCTAAGTGGCCAAGACTAATAGAATGACTAAATAAGTTGTAAGGAGCCACTGTGGTAGAACATTATGCAACCATTAAAATGAAAACTATATATTTTTTTAATCCACAGCAAAATAAGTTCTTGGCCTGAAGAAGATACTCTGAAGTTTGTTGAACTGAAAAAAAAAAAGACCTATATAAAGAAGTTTTTGACCAGGCATGGGAAGCCGTAGGGGGAGAACTGTTTGAGGCCAGGAATTCAAGACCAGCCTGGGCAACACAGTGAGACCCTCATCTCTACAAAAAAGTAATACAAATTAGCCTGGCATGGTGGGTGCATGCCTGTAGTCTTACCTACTTGGGAGGCTAAGGCAGGAGGATTGCTTGAGCCCAGGAGTTTTAGGCTACAGTGAGCTATGCCTGTGCCTCTGCACTCCAGGTTGGGAGACAGAGCAAGACCCTGTTTCGAATAAATAAAAGTTTTAAGGACAACCCCTTCGGGTCCCCTCTAACTGTGGAAACTTTTCTGTCCTCTCAATAAATCCTGCTAAAAAAAATAAAAATAAAAGTTTTAAAAATGAAAAGTGCAGTTCAATGGCTCTCAAAGTGTAGTTCTAAGAACAGCGGCATCAGCATCACCGGAGTATGTGACAGAAATGCATATTCTTGGTCCTTTGCCCACACCTCCTCCATTAGAGGACCCTGGGGATGGGCCCAGCAATTTGTATTTTACCAAGCCCTTTGCTGCATACTTAAGTTTGAGAATCACTGGCATAATGCAATGTAAAAGGTAAAAGGTAGGATTCTAATTGTAGCATGATCAGAGCTGATGTTTACTGAGTATGACTATGCTTTCCTATGATCTCATGTAATTTCCAAAAGTACTTTAGGAAGTGCTAGTACTATTGTGTACCCATTTGACAGATCAGAAGACTGAGGTGTGGTGACTTGCCCAAGAACATGGAGCTAGTGAATGGCAGAGCTGGGACCTGAAAATCAAGTCCTTCTGCCTCTGAAGCCCATATAGTTTACCAGGGCACCAACATTTCCCTCAGTGGGTCCACAAATATCACTGGTAGTGATAGGGTAGTCTCAGTGGGCACTTGGATATTCATTTTAAACTCCAACAGTTATGTATTTATTGAATGTATAGTAAAAATATATATAACTAGCATTTCAAACTCTTGACTTCAGTAATAACATTAAGTTTCCTTTTTTTTTTTTTTTAAGTCAGAGTCTCATTCTGCTGTCCAGGCTGGAGTGCAGTAGCACACTCATGGCTCAGTGCGGTCTTGACCTCCTGGGCTCAGGTGATCCTTCTGCTTCATCTCCCAAGTAGCTGGGACTACTATGTACCACCACACTGAGCTAATTTTTTTATTTTCTGTAGAGATGAGGTCTCACTATGTTGCTCAAGCTGGTCTCGAACTCCTGGCCTCAAACAATCTTCCTGTCTTGGCCTCCCAAAGTGCTGGAATTATAGATGTTAGCCACCTAACTCGGTGTTCCCTTTCAAATAACTGAATTGGTATTAAAAGTTAGTGGCCAGCCGGGTGCAGTGGCTCACATCTATAATCCCAGCACTTTGGGATGCCGAGGTGAGAGGATTGCCTGAGCCCACGGGTTCGAGACCAGCCTGGGCAAGTTGGCGAGATTTCATCTCTACAATAAATTAAAAAATTAGCAGGGGCGTGGTGGCATGTGCCTGTAATTCCAGCTACTTGGAAGGCTAAGGCGGAAGGACTGCCTGAGCCCAGCAGGTTGAGGCTGTGGTGGCTGTGAGTGTGCCACTGCACTCCAGCCTGGGTGACAGAATGGGACTCTGACTCAAAAAAAAAAAAAGTTAGTTGCCAGCTGGGTGCTGTGGCTCACGCCTGTAATCCCAGCACTTTGGGAAGTGGAGGCAAGAGAATTGCCTGAGCTCAGGAGTTCAAGAGCAGCCTGGCAACTTGGTGAGCCCTTGACTCTACAATAAATAAAAAAATTAGCTGGAAGTAGGGCACACCTGTAGTTCCAGCTACTTGGAAGGCAGAGGCAGAAGGATCGCCTGAGCCCATCAGGTCAAGGCTGTGGTGGCCGTGAGCATGCCATTGCCCTCCAGCCTGGGAGACAAGAGTGAGACTCTGACTCAAAAACAACAACAAAACAAAACAAAAAACCTCCCACATATTTAAAAATCTGTACATTTACATTATATGAACTGTACCTGATATACCTAATGTACCTAAAGAACTATAAAAAATACTATAGTCTAGTTGATGACATGTATGCTGAAGTGATTAGAGGGAAGTGTGTTGTATTCTGCTTCTCACTTTTAACAAACAGCATAAAGCTGGGCAGAGTGGCTTACATCTGTAATCCCAGCACTTTGGGAGGCTGAGGCGAGAGGATTGACTGAGCTTGCAGGTTCGAGACCAGCCTGGGTAACATGGTGAGACCTCGTCTCCACCATAAAAAAATAAAAATAAAAATAATTAGCCGGGTATAGTGGTACATACCTGTAGTTCCAGTTACTCAGAAGGCTGAAGGCTGAGGTGCAAGAATCTCCTAAACCCAGCAGGTTGAGGCTGCGATAGCCATGAGCGTGCCACTGCACTCCAGCCTGGACAACAGGATGAGATTCCCACTCAAAAAATAAATAAATAAATAAAAATTACATCATAAGGCTACAAGGGACTGATACATGAATAGGTTTGGATGAGGGACTGGCTACATGATAAAACAATTGTAGTTTGTTTTTTTTTTTTTAAAGTCAGGGTCTCACTATCACCCAGGCTGGAGTGTAGTGACATGATCATGGCTCATCACCTCCTGGGCTCAGGCAATTCTGCCTCAGCCTCCTGAGTAGCTGGGACTACAGGTGCCTGGCTTAGTTTTTTATTTTTATTTTTTTTTGAGTTGGAGTCTCACTCTGTCACCCCGGCTGGAGTGCAGTGGCTTGCTTACAGCCACTGCAGCCTCTACCTGCTGGACTCAGGTGATCCTTCTGCTTCAACCTTCCAAGTAGCTGGAACTACAGGTGCATGCCACCACACCCAGCTAATTTTTTTTTGAAAATTTACTGTAGAGATGAAGTTTTACTAAGTTGCCCAAACTGATCTCGAACCCTTGGGCTCAGGCAATCCTCTCACCTCGGCCTGATTATAGGTCACCATGCCCAGCCTTACTTTTTATTTTTTTGCATCAGAGTCTCACACTGTCATCCAGGCTAGAGTTCAGGGGCACACTCATGGCACCGCAGCCTTGACCTGCTGGGCTCAGGTGATCCTTCCTCCTCAGCCTTCCAAGTAGCTGGAACCACAGATGTGCACCACCATACGTGGCGTTTTTTTTTTTTTTTT